CATATCTGAGAACGAAAGTGTCTTAAGAAAGAAAATGGGGCATATGTGGAAGAAAAAATTACTCATCAAGGTATTATCCACTAGCACCCTAAACTTGGAGAAGTTGAGCTACGCCTAGAAACATATTTCCCTATTCTCTATCCATGACTACACATGAATGAATTCATGGGATTAGTGGGAGTTGATTGTCAAGGCCTACAAAGACAAGCATGTCCTATGTCCATGATCAAAGGCTAGCATGCTTCATGCCACATGGAAAAGCCTACATGATCACCCACTACCATGCCCATGATGGAGTGCTTTTGGATCATGGAGAAAACCATGGAACATAGAACTTGGAGCCCAAGAGTTGAATGCCTATAAAAGGCCAATTAACCCACAATCCAAAAGGGGAAAAATAGATATTATTCTAAATTTGCTTGCAATTATACTCCTACTGAATTTAGCATGGGAGTGTTTTCTTCTAGGTAACCTAAAGCGATTTAATCCTCAATTCATCATGCGCCTCTTTGATCAATGCAAATCTTTCTTCCAAGCCATCCAAAATTAAAAAAAGCGATGTATAGGGAGATGAGCAAAAAGAAGCTTTTTTTTAATCAGCTGAAACGGTACCTCACAAGTTCCTTAATCCTCACTATACTGAAGAATGGGGAGATATTGTATTTGTAAATCTTCGTAACCAAGGTGCAATTAAGTCAAGCATTGTTAAAAAAGGAGAACCATTTACAACAACCCATCTTCTACGTTAGCAAGAGTTTGGTTGATGCTGAAAAGATATACACCATGCTAGAGAATCTTATCCTCACCCTTGTATGTGTGTAAGTGTCACCTGAGGCAAGAGGCACAAGATAAGCTACAAATCGTGGGGATGGGATATTCGTGGGTCCATCCTAAGTATAAACTCGTAACCCGCAACCCAACTCCCATCTATGTGTCAAAGGCATCAGGATCAGCCACAACCTTATGGTGATGGGTTGTTGTCCTTGTATGCATCCAAGTCTAAAATGTCTACTCAATGTTGATGTGAGCACAACAAGCATCAAACTAACTTTCTTCACATTCTCAACACGCTCCACCTCGCCGTTCAGTCGTTCTATTTCTGCATGGGTATCCTTACACTCAAGATGGAGGGCGACAACTTTCCCCGTGAGGCTAGAAAACTCATCTTTCTATTCCTCTCATTTGGCCTTGCTTGCCTTAAGGCGTTGTTCTTATGAGACTCAAGAAAATTTTCTAACTCATTCTTTCGCCTTGGACAACTCAACCAAGTGATGCTCAACCGTCTCTGAAACATTTATACGAAATTATTGTCATGGAAGTCAAATGAAGTAAACCAACAAAAGAAGAAATGAAACATACTAAAATCAAGTGATGAGCATGTTGCAAAGAAAGATCACAGTCATCCAACTCTCTTAATTCCCTAAGGTCACGAGGCTACCGATTTTCGTGCCCCATTCTTAATCTCCAAGGCTACCGATCATCATGCCCCATTCTTTAAGGCCCTTAAGGGCAACAAGCGTAATATCATCTGGACCCCAGAATGCAAAAAATCATCGAAGGTAAGACACTTCTGGGAATCCCTAAATACTGATGTCATCATCATGATCTCAGCTACCGAAGACACCTTCCTTCGATGTGGCAGTTACCTGCTGAAGGCGATTGCTGAAGCTCTCAACTACATAACCTAAGCCTTGGACATTTGTCGCCATCACTGTGATTTGCATAATGTCCCACATCGAAACTTTGTGCAAACCCCAACTTTCATTTCTTTATA